TCGTGACAGAAGTGCTCGGCCGTGTCCCCGACTCTCGGGGGGCGGGGGGGTTCCCTCTGGCTCCAGAAAGGCAGAGAGGAGCCGTGCGAACGAACAGGGTCTGCAGAGTGGGGACAGTGCTGTTCTTGGCCGGAGGGTTAACGCCAGAGACCACCTTCGGCCCGTGGACGGGAAAATACGTGTTTTCCTATGATCCCAGTGCGTCCTCTCTGTACTGGTTACTGCCAAGACCTGAAATTGCACGGCATGAGGAATTTCTAAAATGACAGAATTCTTTCTCACTTTAAATGTTTCCAGTGAAATGTCGTGACTGAAAACATTCTCTATCAGCCTTTTATTCTACTTTAGAAGGGGGCAGGGAGCTATACTGATTACCTGTTTCTGAGCCTAAAGAATCTTTAACTGAACACACTTGAGAAAGACAGTGACCCAAGTACCGTGAGAACCCGTCCATGCCACCGCGTTACTGGGGGATGCAGGAAGGATGGAATTCCTAGGCAGCTGCCATTCTGCCACGCCAGTACCAGGTCCTATCAGCCCGAGGAGGTAGAGCAAAGCAAAAAGGAAGTCTGGCCACGCCAGGTTTCCCGGCTTTGGTGAGTCTCGAGGTCCCCACTGGGAGTGTTCCACAGTGTTGGTAGGGTCCCAGCGGATGCTCCTCATTGGCTGTTTTGCACATCGTCCGGGAGAGGAAGCAGGGCCTCCCCATTGTGCAGCTGCTGGGAAACAGTTCGTGGAGAATCACTAGAGTTCTGTCTCCCAGCAAGGCCAGGAGACACTGGCTGTCAAGATGCTGCTGGTAATTGAGGACTTGGCATCTGAGGGCAGCCACTACCCATGCATTAGTGACTGTAACATCCAAGTAGGGCAGGTGAGACTCTGTAGGTGTGAGTGGGACTGGGAGACGTTTATGCATGCTGCATACGTGTGCGCTGATGCAACTGGTGCTGGCAACTGAGCAATCAAGAGTGGCACTGGCTGCCTGGGAGCATGCATGCCCAGCCCAGTGACCATCAGCTCCATGTTCCAGTGAGTAAGGTGGGGGGTAGTGATAAGAACCCACATTTATGTTCTGCTGCATTGGATCATGGAAACCTGCTCATCAGGTATCTTTAGCTAAAGATTTTCCTCTGTAATTAGCAAACTTAATTATCCACTTGGATTTGAAGCCTGTGCTAACCCAAAGTATTAAAAAATACAAATGAGAGCCCTGGCTAGTGTGGATCAGTGGATTGAGTGCTGGCCTGAGAACCAAGGGGTCCCTGAATCGATTCCCAGTCAGGGCACATGCCTGGGTTGCAGGCCAGGACCTCAGTAGGGGGTGCACAAGACGTAGCCACACACTGATGTTTCTCTCCCCCTCTCTCTCTTTCCCTTCCCCTCTCTAAAAATAAATAAATAAAATCTTTTTAAAAATATGGATGAGATCAAGAGAAAAGGATTCAAGGAGAGAGTGTGGGACATTTAAGGATGAGAGTGTGGGCTCTGAGCCATAGCGGGGATCCAAGCCCAGGCCTGGCTGCGACCTTGAAGCACTTACCTCCCCACACTTCACTTCCTTCCCCTGAGAAATGGGAATCATACGACTAATCATAGTTTTGAACTGTGCTTAGCACATAAGTGCCCAGCACGTTTAGGTCGTTTTTATTTTAGTGATGGCGTTTTAAAAGCACCAACTCTACAGTGAATCATTATATAATTAGAAATTTTGAAAAGGAATACTAATTAATAACTCAAACATTTTATTTTAAAACATTGGAAACTTACGTTTCCTACATGGAAGTAAATTAATACTTAACATTTGTAATACTTACTAAAATTTGAAAATGAAACAAATTCAGCCCACAGACATTTCTGGAGTACCCCTAAGCGCTGAGGAGAATGATGGTATAGAGATACATATGACGTGACCAACTTTCAGGAGCTGTAATTTCAGAATACAGCATGTGTTAGAGAAGCAGTATGAAATCGTCAAGCATCTTAGGAAGGCTCCTTTGAGCCATGTAAGTATAATTTGTATGTAACCTTACATCTGTGCTTTTAGAAAAGATACTGGATAAACACACTTGGCTGAAGAACCTGCACACTGATGAGAATATTTATTGTTTTGAACTATTTTGAGTAAATAAAGATTATCATTCAATTGCAAGTGTCCCACATACATTCAGAACATCGCAGCATAAAGTCAAATGTAGCCGAAATGCTGACATTATGTTGCTAGTCTGCTCGGTAGGTTATGCCGTGCTCCAGGCCGAAGCTTTGTGCGTAAATATTAGAAGAAATATTAAGCATTCTTCTTCATTGTATTTCATAGCACTGACCTTAAATTGGCCATGAGAACAAACACAGCATTCATTATAGACCTCAGGCCTTAAAAAAAAAAGTGAATTGAATTTTGTAATTAATTTGCAAGCAAATATCACTCTTCACAAAATTTGAAAATATCACCCTGGGCTCTTTCTAGTCAATCAAATTGTGGTTATCATCAGATTGAGTCTTTTACAAAGGATGAGGGCATTTTAATGAACTGGAACATTTTTAATATCTGCAAAATTATGGGGAATAATGGAAGTAACATTGAAACAGCATTTCGGATGTTACTAATGATTGTCAGCATGTTTTTATGTTTCTCTTCCACTTAGACCCGTGTGACTAGGAGAGGGATGCACTGCCGCCCCCATTGTTCATAGGAAGATCAGTTGCAGCTTAGAGGAGAGTCGATGTGATGCAGAGGCAGGCAGTCCCGCGGGTCTGGTTCCCAGGTGACCAGCGTGTGCCTGGCAGGGGATTCCCAAGCTTTTACACAGTCAGCTGCACGGCATTTGGGATTATCTAGGTGTGTGTTTGGTTCTTTTCTTCTCCTTCTCCGTTTGATCTGGTATTTGAGGCATTTGGCTAATTATTTTTTCTTTTGTTCGTTCACTCCTTCATTCATCAGAAGTATCTTGGTGCCCTACTGTGTGCTCAGCGGTGCTGGCCGTGCTTTGTCTCAGGCTCCGTTAGTATGTGTGGTTCGATACGCCTGCCTTTCATGCGGACGGTTCTAAAAGTCAGATGGTTCTGCTTCCGCTTTTTTTTTTGGTCAAAGGAGATGTTCTGTAAGAAATGAAGTGATTGAAATTTTCAAGTTCTTTTACTGGTTTTAAACTCCGTAAAAACAGGAGTTACATCTTGTTCACCTTTTAAGCCCATCCCCGTATTTAATGGGTGTGTGGCAGGTACACCGGCTGTCACACAGCGGGCTGTCTTCTATCTGGACTGCTCAGCGTTTCTGTGGGGAATGCGGTTAATGTTAGCGGCTGTAACTATGAACATGAATGATTACTTTTAAAATCAAGTTAATGGGTGTGGCACAGTCAAGTACTGCGTTACATTTGTATCCCGGAAATTCCTCACGTATGTTAGAACTAAGTAGAAGTTGTCTGGGTCTTCCAGAATGTTTAAATAAATTCTTTTTAAAAATGGAAAACACAACAATGGCGGTGTAAGTTATTCCCATAGCCCTCAGTTCTGGGCTTTCTCCCCTTTTTATCCACTGGTTAATCTTCCCCATCTATCCAGCTGCCCCTCCACCCCACCCGCCTGCCATCCACCCCAGCCCCCGCCGGATACCTGCCAGTGTTCCCTTCCTCCTCCCCGTTCGTCCATTTCCCACAGTCTAGTCTGATAGCCCTGGAGGGGACTGTGAAAGAAAGCCCCTTGTTATTGAAGTCAGTGCTGCTTCCTCGGTTTCCACCAAGATAAACACAGTACTTACGTATTGGCCCAGATCTGGCACTTGAGGAGTAAACAGGGCACTCTCGGTCATCAGGCTGGCTGGGAAAACAAGCAGAAACCAGGGCTGTTCTGGGTACATCAGAACATGCGGCCGCTTGCACACAATATCTTCTCCTAACAATCTGAAGGGGGATTCTTATGTAATACTATGCAGTTTCATTAAGTGCTAGGCTATGCAGTATGTAAATTGCTTACTTACATCGAGAACATGGAATGGAACAGATTTGCAAAGGTTGTCCTTGGTGCGTATGGGTGTAACTTGCACCTGAGTCTTTTGAAGCATCGGTTCCTGTGCGTTTACTAGGTAGCCGTCCAGTGTGGAGTCATCTGGTGTCTAATTTCTTCCCATGTGTTGTGCTGCTGGGGGCTCATTGCCCTCCCACTCGCACAGAGGAAGTCTGGAAATCACTTTCGCTGGGTGTAGCACTTGCCAGGGCAGCACAGGGGCGATGGAAGAGGAGGAACAGCCAAGTCTTGTGTTCCTGCAGTCCACAGTACGCTGGGGACAGAGGGCTGGCAGCATTCGCACAAAACAACTACTCTGCCTACGCAGGTGACTGGGCAGGGACGGCAGCAGGAGGAGGGAGGAGCCCCAAAGAAGACCGGGTCAGAGGGCCAGGGAAAGCTCACGAGGGGGGACGGGCCACCCCGAGGTTGTCGGGCTCAATCAGGCCGCCCTAGCGACTGCTGGCGCCTCTCTGGTGGGAGAGCGGGAATTAGTGATGTAAGAGTTAGCTGAGGTTTAGCACACAAAATGATGTATCTTCCCCCTGAACCTTATCTCTGCTTTATCTGATCCTGGGCAGATTTCTTAACCCTTCTGGTTTCCTTTTGTTCATTATAAAATGGGACTCGGAATAGTCCCTTCTCCTAAAAGTGTTAAATCGGTTAATTTATGTAAAGCACTGGGACAGTGCCTGGTCCTAGAAAAATATGAAAAAGATACTTTTTCTCTTAGTATCATTAGTCGTCTTTAGAGGAAAGGCAGGTACACGTCAGCCAGTACAGGATGGGGCGAAAGTAGGTTGACAGGTGTGAGGACACAAAGCAGCGCTTATTCTTGGATTATTATTTATCACTTATTGTATTGCTTTCCATACAAACAATCGTAAATCCACGTTTGCCCCATCCTATAAACGTCAACGTTTGATTGTAATGTACCTCGTGCAGCGTATCCCTGTTATTATTTTAATTTGCTCATGTGGCTCATAATTTTTTCACAGCCCGGAAGTCCAAGAAGCTGGGAAAGTTAAAAGGGATTCACGAGGAGCAGCCGCAGCAGCAGCCCCCGCCCCCACCCCCGCCGCCCCAGAGCCCCGAGGAGGGGACAACCTACATCGCGCCCGCTAAAGAGCCCTCCGTCAACACAGCGCTGGTGCCCCAGCTGTCCGCCGTCTCCCGGGCCCTCACGCCTTCCCCCGCTCTGGTCCTGGAGAACATCGAGCCCGAGGTCGTGTACGCGGGCTACGACAACTCCAAGCCCGACACGGCCGAAAACCTGCTGTCCACCCTGAACCGCCTGGCGGGCAAGCAGATGATCCAGGTCGTGAAGTGGGCAAAGGTAATTCCAGGTAGGACCGCCTCTCCTCTCACGGTCTGCGTCCTGAACGAGACACATCCAGGCAGCGCATCTCACCGCGTCCATCCTCGGGGTCGGAGTTAGCTTCCTCTTCAACCCCAATAGCACATTTTTAAGTGGTTGTCAAACTAATCACGTGTGCAGCAAAAACCTGGGTAGCAGGCTCACTTCCCCTGAGCAGTTAGAGTTAAGGGTTCTGTTGTTGACATATCATATAATTCCTGTGTTGGTCATTGCAAGGCAAAACTTTATCCCAGAAATACGAATGAGGTGAAAACCATTCTGATTATGAAAACTCCAACTGAACCTGTTACAGCTTGTAGTCAAGGCGAATCTGACCACACACTGAGTGAACCGAGACCTAGTAGGTCCTTCGAGCCCCTGAAAGTCTGTTCTTTCTAAGAATATCATCTTGCCTCCAGCACCCTTTAAATTGTCTTTGAAATTCCCATTTTAGCCATTTTTATGCCGTAGAATTTTATTAATAATTCTACAGAAACATCACTTAGAATTGCTATCACATTGGCCCAATTCCCTTATTCAATGCAGTTTCTTAAATGACCTGTGGCCAACCAGTAGCCATGAGGAAAAAGTTTGGGGAGAGCTTGGATGACTGATTTTTTGAAGATGAGCTTCCCCAGGTGACCCTGTATGAATGAAAGAAGAGAATGATGCCACTGGGAATATAGGACCTGGAAAAGGGGGAAAGACAGGCTTGAGGCCCGGGAAGGGAGGCCAAGGGTGGGGGGTGGGATGGGTGCCGAGGGTGCTTCTCCTGCTTCAGAACTTCGCTGAGGCCCCGCGTCATCCCAGACCATGGGAAGCAAAGAATAGTACATCTTCAACCACCACAAGCTCACGAAGAGTAAAATCTTCCATTATTACTGATCCGCAGTAGCTGATGCTTATTAACGTATCCTTTATGTTAATGTTATTCATTGAGAGTAGTATGAAGAAGTCTTACCAGCAGAGACAAATTCTTTTGTGCCAACCAAAGGTTTAGGACCATCATCCACCATGAAATGCCCTGAACGCCCCAGTTTTGTTTTCCCGGGCAGTTCTCCCTCATGAGAATTCGGGGCGAATTTAAACAAAGTGTTCGGCAGGGCCAGGCCCGTGGTGGGCGCTCTGTGAGCGACCGTGGGTCTGGTCCGAGTGTGTTGGAGATAGGCGGCCGGTGGGGGTGGCCCGGGAAGCTGTTCCCGGAGCCGGCTTCCAGGCTGAGTGTGCGTGTGTGTCGTCTGTCTGTCCTGCAGGATTTAAAACCTTGCCTCTCGAGGACCAAATCACCCTGATCCAGTATTCGTGGATGTGTCTCTCGTCATTTGCCTTGAGCTGGAGGTCGTACAAACACACGAACAGCCAATTTCTCTACTTCGCCCCAGACCTCGTCTTCAATGAGTAAGTACCTGTGAATTAGCCTTTGTAAGGTCAAGTGCAGAGTTACTTGTTACGCTTTGCTATGATTTCTAAACAGAGGTGTGTTTGTGGAAGAATCCACTCCTACTTGCCTTTGTAAGAGTTTAAAAAAGATCTATCATTTGAGAATTTTAAAATTACCTTTTGCCAAATTGTCACGTACATGGCTGAGTATATATAAATCCATATGTCTAAATCTCACATAATAGTATGTGGGAATTGCCCCAAAAGAGAGACGATCCAGTTGGCTCCCAAAACTTGACTGGTGCAGAGCCACAGTTCATAGAAAACAGTCTCTTTCGGCATCGACTCCAGTTGAGGAGACGGTCTGATTTCCAGGAAAGGCGGGCATGCTCAGCGCCAGGCTCTGAGCACAGGCACACCGTGGTCCTTCTGTGAACAGTGCACAGCTGCCCCGTGCGCTTCCCGACCATCACAGTCCTCCTCCTTCGCCGTCCTGGGAGCAGCCAAGATGTCGTTCTGCGGCGGGCGTTTTCAGCATCATGGTGCATCTTACGAGACTGAAAGAATCGCACTGGGTTTTCCTTTGGTCACAGACTCCTTCCTTCCCATGCGAAGTTTACATTTTAATACTGTTTGTATTCCACATTAGCACGTTTCATCCGTTCCTATCCCGCGGTGCTTCTTTGTAATTGTTGGGTCAAGAAACACAGAAAGTGGAAAGGAATGTTTGAATTACGAAGTGAACCACAGCCACATTCCAACAGATGGCTCTCTCTAGAGAGATGAAAATAGGGGTTTTCAGTAAGGAAGGAAGCAGATGAGGAATAGGTTGATGATGAAAGAAACAAAAGCCATGGGGAAGGTTAAAAGCGAACGCAGAGCACCGAGGTCCTGAACTAGTACGGGCACTCGCCTGCCCGGGGGGACTAGCGCCCCCCAGACGTGGTGTAGCCCTGACAGCTTTACTCAGGAGTGTGGGTGATTGGTTCTGAAGGTAGCCCTTCTGGCAATTACAAAACATAATCCTCCTACTGCGTAAATGTTCACCAGCAGCGTGACATGAGGCCAAAAAACTGACACGCACATTTTAATGTACTTGTCTTCCTTAATAATCAGTTGACTGCATTCCATATTAAGCCTGTGTTAAAATGTGGTTTATAAACCAAAAAAAAAAAAAAAAAACATATTAAGGAGGGTCTCCTTCAAAAGGAAGTGAGGGTGGTAGGTAAGAATCTCTCTCTGTCAGTGTCGTCCTGTGAATCTCCGTTTTATTTTACAGAAGAGTTGAAATGATTTATCTGATTTTAGTTGGCACATGATTTTCGTCATAAAATACGTAGAACAAAAGGTCCCGTCGTGATCAGGTCAAGTGCATGGTGCAGTGGCACTAATCACACGCACATTGCTCTGCAGCCGCCACCTCTGTCCACGCCCCTTGTCCTCGTCCACCATCCCTCATGGAACCCCGACCCCAGGGAGCAATGATTCCACGCCCCCCCTCCTCCCGAGCCCTGACAGCCACTAGTGGGCAACTCCGCCTATTCCAGGTGTGGCGTCGCAGTGGAATCACACAGTAGGTGTCTTCTCCGTGTCTGGCTTCGTTCACTTAGCACGTCCTCAGCATTCACCCTTGTGGAGGCGAGTATCAGACTCGTTTTTATGGCTGCGTACTGCTCCACTGTTTGTCTCCACAGTGGATCCTCATTGCTCACAGGTTCTGTATGTGTAACCCCCAAGTCAAGCCTTGTAGCACTTTGGGGGTTGAGTGCAGGCACTCGCAGAGAGGCGGTGAGTCTGAGTCGCCTGGCGCATGCCTTTCAGCGGAGAGCGCAGTCCGGGGTCAGCTCCCAGGCCGTAAACACGCGTCTTCTTGGCGGTCTGTTTAGTGCCACAGGTTTGCACTGTCGTGCTTTTTGTTGGTGGTTTCACTGTTTAAAGTGGCTCCCGGGCATATTGCTGGAGCCTAGCGTTCCTCAGGGCCAGCAGGCTGCGATGTGCCTTAGGGAGAACGCGCGGGTGCCGGGAGAGCTGCTCTCGGGAATGAGCTGTAGTGCTGGTGGCAGTGAGGTCAGTGTGTGTGAATGAACTGTGTGTTCATGAGGTGTCTTTAAGTGGAAACACACAGGAAACACGATGCCGCAGAGATAGGTAAGTTGATGAAAACGCTAGGACCAGGGGTTTTCTCGGGGACCTCGTCCTGTAACGCCCACAGAGGACCAGTTCAGTATTTGCTAATTCAGCCTTTGCTGCAACTTTCCGGAACATAAGTACCTTGTTTATTTTCACCAAAGAGAATTGGCCACACTTGGTGTATTCGCTCAGGTGTTGACAGACATTTGGGTTGTTTTCACCTGTGGCCAGTGTGACCGTTGCTCTCGGCACTGGCGCGGGAGTTCGTTTGAAGCCCGGCTTTTGCTTCCTTCGTTCGCGTGCAGCCAGGAGCGGACCTGCCGGGTCACCCACCGGCTCTGCGTCTAACCAGCGAGGAGCCGCACGCAGCCCTGCCGTGCACGGCAGCCGCGCCATTTCACACCCCCAGCGTGGTGGCGACGAGTGAGGGGAGCTCCAAGTCGACCACCCCCCCTGCTAACGCTGCTGTTTTCCTGACCGTTGTACTAATAATGGGTGAGAAGGGCTGGGGGGAGTTCGACATGTATGTGACGTCTAACATCGTGTGAATTTAAGGTGTACGACATGTTGATTTCATCCATTTACATGCCGTAATAGGATTGCTGTTGTGGCGACAGCATCTCAATTACATCACGTAATTGTCATTGCTTTTTTGTGGCGAGAACAATTAAAATCTAATCTCTCAGCAGATTTAAGGACTCTGATACAATACCGACTGCCTTCACTGCACCGTGCGTTAGCTCGCTAGGCCTCGTCCGTCTGTTGGGTGCAGCTTCGTCCCTGTAAACGGCATCTTTCCTTTCTCTCCACCCTGGACCCCTGGCAGTCACTGTTCTGCAGCGTTTTGGGGTTTTGCAGAGTCCCCGTATAAGGGAGATCGCACTGTGTTTGCTTTCTCCGTCTGACGTGGCTCTTAGTAGGGACGAAGGGGCGTCTCGTGGTGGTTTGTGTTGCACTTCTTCGATGTTGGCGATCTTTCACATGCTTGTTGACCATTTGTTTGACTTGGGAGAAATGTCCATTGATGTCCTTTGCCCGCTTTTAATTTGGTTTGCTTGTCTTTTTCGTTCTCGAGTTGTAGGAGTTCTTTATATATTCTGGATATTAAACCCTTATCAGATACATGGTTTGTATATTTCTCTCATTCTGTGGGTGGCCTTTCCAGTCTCCCCTCTTGATAACATCCTTTGATGCAGTTTTCACATTGAAGTTTTTAATTTTAATGAAGCCCATTTTATCTATTTTGTATTTTGTTGCCTACATTTTTGGTGTCGTCTGTTACTTTTTAATTGTGTGCAGACATCCAAGTGTCCAGGTTCCAGACCAAGGGCAAAATCGTGAAAATCCTTTTTAACAAAAGAAACTTAAAGAGAAAGCACTTACATTTGAACTAATGTCATTAGAGAGTTTTGGAAATGAGAAATAATGAGCCAAAAAGAAAAAGAAAAGGTCATATAAGCTTTTATATGTATTTATCTGTTCTAGAAAATATTGATAGGAATGGAAACAACAAAAATCTCTTTCCAGTGTTAAAAGTAGTTTAAATATTATGATATCATATAAAATTTGAATGAAAAGTTGTTTTTTATTCTTAAATTTTTTTACCTCAACCCAAACCTAGACTTCTGTAAGTTTTCTCTCAGCTAGAAAGAACAGCATGGAGCTTTTTCAGAGGACTGGGAGAGGGGAAGCCTGCTCCCTGGGAGCATTTGGAAATGACAACAAGCCTCCTAGTCAGACAGAGCGTGGCCCGGTCGCTCTGTTACAGGCACCAGCCCAGGCCCGGCATTGCTCAGGGAGGCTGCTCAGTGGCCGGGGACGGCCTGCAGCTGACGTCTGGACATACACGCACATGTCATTCAAGCAGTGCTGGCTGACTGGCATCAGCCTTCGGAGCAGTGGTTTCAGAACATCAAAAAGATGCATATAGTCCCTGCCTCATGGGACATAACCATCTACTGGGGAGAAAGAAATGACTCAGAGAATCCCCAAGTTGTTATTGTGGGAAGTATTGAATGGAAAACTGCTTCTCGAGCAGGCAGTTCTGAGAGGATTGATCTGGTCAGCAAAGCCTTCCTTGGGTTGATGGAGCTCACGTCACCCAGGGGAGGTGTAGGAGGAGGGGAGTTGATTTAGGCCAAGGCGCCAGCGTGTGCAAAGGCCCAGTGGCAGGAAGGGCCTGACTGCAAGGCATTGTAATGACAGACGGGGAGAGACATGCCCAGGTGTTGAAAGGCAAAACCAGCAGGAATCGCTGGCGGTCGGACTCTGGTGGAGATGGGAGGGCAGGAAGACGTCAATGTCGAGGATGACCACCAGGCCTCTGCCCGAGGGTCAGGTGTCGGGTTCGGTGGGGGCAGCTCCCTGGAACAGGGAACAGGGTGAGGGACCAGGGTTTGGGAGGGACGAGCAAGGGAGGCCAGGTTTAGACATGCGAAGGCTGGCTTGTCTTGGAGACATTACTCAAGGGGCAGTGTGAGAGAGGGTCAGAGACACGTCTGGAAGTCCCCAGAGAGCTTCCTTCCTGCTGCGCACCAGTCGTGTCGGAAGTGGGGGGGCGGGACAAGGCGGGCGTCTTCCCGGTCTGTCATTAAACGTTGGAGTGAAGCTGCGCATTCACGCTTCAACTTGGCACAAAACTTTTCTCATAAACTTAAAACTTTCCCACTATGTATCAAATGATTAAGTATTCCATTTTTACCTTGAAACAGCTTATCGTACATTGTACCAGATCGCCGCTGCAGATACTGCCATCTCTTATCCATTCAGTGCACATATTAAAGCTCCCGTTTGAGCCTGTAATGAAATTTCTGCAAAATGTTTTTCATTAACTTCCAAAATGAAGGTTCAGTGTCACACTGCCTTTGAAGATGCAGCCAGTACTTTAG